CTGCAAATCTAAAACAGTATTTAAATCTCAAAGACAGAAAATCAACCTTCTGGTAATAAACCAGCTGAATCTGATCAGCATGAAGTCAGCAGCGTGACAAAGAAGCTCTCATGTGTCACAAAACAGCGTCACCAGTACAGATCCCTGCTGATGTCACAGATGACTCACTGGTTAGCGTCTAGGAGGATGACCCGGACCCCCTCCACAGTGACTTCAGTATTCATGGGGAGGATGTGGACGTACTGCTCGGCCACCCTCAGTTTGCTCTTCACCAGGTTCCCTGTAATCTAATCAGGAGACACAGCTGAGAGTGAACAAATCTTTGCAGTTTACAGTGATGATCAGGTTTCAAACAATCTCAGATATGCGGAGTAATTCACCCCCCCGCCTCCCAAACCCTGGCCTTGAAATCTTATTTTCCCAATCTACTTTCTAATTACCCTCTGTGATTATGATCAAACTTTTCTGGGCTGTGATCCACCTGGCGCCCACGCTCAAAGTCTGTGGCCTAGCAAACGGAGTCCCAACAAGTACTTATAAGTCTGTTTTTAGCCTAATCCCCAGAAAACACACACACACACACCACTGTGATAAACCTGACCCACTTGATAGAAGAACTCCCAACATCTCTAGTCTCTTGACTTTTATATCATTTCAAGTTCATACCTCATATCATACCTGATATTATATATTGTTAAGTCGTAGCTAATTGAACCAAAAATAAGCAATAAAGTCTGAGCTAAAGATTTTACACTTGTTTAACTGCAAACTTCAGTTTATTTAGATAATTCTCTACATTTAACACACCTTCACTGATGTAGCTTTTTCACAGTAACAACAAAGGGGATGGCAAACAACTGGGCCCCAGCTAAACTTATTTTACTGCACATCAAATGTTGTATTTCTGTGTCCAAAAGAAGAAGAAAAAACTCCCACAAAGGTCTTCGAATTTTAATTGACTCAACTGTGATCAGAGCCATTTGAATTTTGGTATTCATAGCTGCCAAACGCAAGCCGCTTTTTCCATTAATGTGAGTCAAAGCAGTGCAGAGAGATAACAAATGGATCAAGTACTTCCTCTATGAATTCTGTGGAAGTGAGGAAGCTTTTTAATGAGTTGAAAGTAAATAGGATTTCTGGCGGCAGAGAGGGGTGGTGGTGGTGTTATATCATTTTCAAATAAGTGAATCGCTTCCATACCACTGAAGGAGAAATACATAAACGGACAAAATGTCAGCCTTTTGCTGAGATGGTGTTGGATATAGTTTCAACAGTGGACTCAAAGCAGGGATAACATCCATCACCCTGACTGTTTAGTATCATAGAAAAACAGCAACTGTTTTATGCAAATCAATGCATATAATAAATCAGATTCTGATTTCAAAACACAGATTGTGCAACCTCAATCATCTAAATCCTGCACAACATAAGCAAGGATATATTCATGAGAAGACAGACATCTCTACATCCAATATTTTCATAGCTGGGTACCTCACGGACAATCAGGGTGGTGAGAGAACATGTAAATGTGATTTAAGGGTGAACTGTCCCTGGCACTCGGTGATCCAGTACCAAATAAAAACAAAACTAAGTAAATTATTTCATCAAAACTACAGATTGACTTACTCTGTTGCAGTAGATGGGAACAGTGGAAGTCTTGGTCAAGCCTCCGTAGTGGTCTGAGTGGAAGTGAGTAAGGAAGTAGGCTGCGATGCCCTCGATCTGTCCATATCTAAAGGCATCAATGGCAAACTTTGTGCCTGGGGAAAGTTTTTTGCATAAGATTACAAATTAAATAATAATTAATGTTTAAATTTACACAGCAAGAAGAAATGTACATTTGCTTACTAACCTGGGATTTTCTTATAGAAAGGGCAACGGGGCAGCTGTACTTCTCCATCAGCATTGACTCTGTTCCTCCACCTCCTCCTCCCTGTGGTCCCACTCCTCCCCCAGACTTCTCCCTGTCCATCTACTGATGGGTTAATGGTTTCTGTGGCCTGTGGCGTATCTGCTGGTGTGTCAGCTTTATTTTTTCTCTGCCGGTCTCCTCTTTGCCGTCTCTGTCCCGAGCTCTTCCCAGCCGTTGGAGTAGACGAAGCGTTGCGGTCATTTGGTGCACTCTCTGCTTCTTTCTCCTTCTCCCTCAGTGGTTTGAGGCCAAAAAACACCCCGATGTCAGTTTGTTTGAGACCGGAGACCTGACCGGCTTTGCTGTGGCCCTTCTGAGGGGGCATGGCTTGAGATCGTTGGACAATGGAAGTTTGAGATGAAGGCACTTGAAGAGAAGCTGGTTGCTCTGTTTGAATAATGCTGTTTGAGTTTTGGGAGTGTGAGTTATCTGAGCTCAGAAGAGTGTCTCTCAGACGCTCTAAGACAATACTCTGTGGAGACTGAATACTAGTCTTACTGATTTCAGAAGCTTCTTTTCCACCTGAGGAAGCAGCTCTGTTCTCAGCAGTTAACTGATTAGTGGGTGTTAATGAGGAAACTGCACCCAGCTGGGTGTTTGCAGAAGGCAGTTTCTTTCCTTGCACATTGCTGGCTTCTGAATTGCTGTTTATAAAGTCAGTGAGGAGCTCATCTTCACTGGAGAAGCCGTCACTGAACAGCATCATCGAGTCTTCATGCTCATTTTGAATTGCACTGTCATTAAAAAGAGATTTTCTACACTCTGTAGTATTGATTTCAGTCTCTGCAGGGAACTCAGAAAGAGGAGAGTAGGATATCATGTTATCATTTTCCAAAGAATCCTCACTTCTGTGTAAATCTTCACTATCCTGCTGTCCACTATTTTCCATGACAGGGATGGATAAATCCCCTTTATTACTTTCCTGAGAAACAGTGACAGAGTTTTGGCTTTTAGTAGATGATGACCAGCCTTTCTTTTTCTTAAAGTCCTCTGGTCCAGGAGAACGCAGGAGCAGAAGGCCATTTGTAAGTTTTGACTGAAGTGTTCCGGTGTGACGTTGGTGAGGTGAGGAGCTAGGACTGGATAATGCAGGAGGAGTTAGAGCCCCTTGCTGTGAAGTCTCTAAAATAGACCCCTGATTTTTTATCAGCCCTGGAAAACAATCCAGGCTGGTCTCAGCCTGTTGGGACAGACTGAGGAGGGCTGTGCCGCTGCTGGCTCGACTGTGGGCCAGAAGTGTGTGGTTGAATTTCTTGTAATGGTTCGGAATGGTGGAGGAGCACCGAAGACCATCTGGACATTCTGTATGAACAGATAAATGAACAGTGCCTGCACTCGTTAGAGCAGGGTTACAAGAGGATAATATTTAGCACTTTACCAACTGCGCTACTCTACTCTAAACTAAACTGATGATATATACTATAAAGGTATCTTATCAGCCTGCTGTTTGAGATAAACACAACTGAGCTAAGTGCATAGAATCAGTGCTACACTGTCAGTGCACATTTCTTTTAATCCTTAATCCTGAGCTGTTAGGCTATGTAGAAGGTTTCTTTCTACCATCCAACAAGCATGAAGGATACCATCACAATGCATTATGGGAAATGAAGGACCTTTTGTTAGAGGAGACTTGTTTATCCTGTGGACTTCTGGTCCTCTTATTTAATTTTTTTTCTCTCAAAAGTTTGAATTATCATAGATATGTCCGTATGCCATATCTTCTTCCAGCTGTTCCTTGTGGGAGTCGCCACAGGAGATCAACCTCCATCCCTATCCCGAGCTTCCCCTTCTGTCACACTACTCTGCATGTCCTCCTTGACTACATCCATTTATCTTCTCTATGATCTTGCACTTTTCATTTTCCCTGGCAATGGATACATTGCACAGAATTCTTTGTCCATCCCTATCCCACTATGCCCAAAACATCTCAGCCTCGCCTCTCTATCTTTGTCTCCAACCTGCTTCCATTTCCTTTCTGCCTCTCCAGGCTGCTGCCTATTCTCACTGCAGATCACAGCGTCACCTGTGAACATACATTCACTGGGATTGAGGAAAAGCTGAGATGGTTTGGATTATTATGGACCTGAATGGCTGCTGTGAATGACATTAGGCTTATCTGAAGCTGTGATTTGGTATCAAGTGTAACTTTAAGATGTGTGATGAGTATGGACGTCTGTACCTGTGCACGTATCCCTGGGAGTGTCAATACATTCAGCAACGTGCCATCTTTGGGACTGCACAACCAAAATGAAGAATGGCATCTGACAGATGGGGCAGAAGTCTTCAGGGGATGGGCCCTCGGCTGCAGCATTGTCACTTTGATTTGTTTCTTTTGTGGGAGATCTCTTTGAGTTAAGCTCCTGTGCATTTAAGCTTAAGTTACAGTCGTCTGTTATTCCAGCTGTAGCACTGACTTCACTTTCTGCCGCTTTGGCTTTTGCGTTCCTGTCTTGTGGCTTGATTGAGAGAGAAGATGCGTCTTTCTTGGAGGATTTCCTGAAAGTGCATTTTCTTTTAGTGTTTTTAGGTGGCGATTCGTGCCTCTTCTTTTTCTTGCCAAGAGGTTTATAGTCCCAGATGTCATTTTCATTTTCCTTCTGTGACATTTGGGGCAAAATAAAGCGTAACGTGCCCGACGTTACCTCGGAACCATTGTTATTACACAAGGACTGATGTTTGGTAACATTCCGCGATCACAGCAAGTTAACGGCTACTGACAACTTCCTTATATATTATATAATACACTGCGGATATTTGTTACTGATAAACAGTTCAACCTCATTATTTAACAACGAAATGGAGAAATTTTCCTTCTTGACACACCGTTTAATAACATGTCAACAGCAGGACTTACCGCCACTATGCTACAATGAATGGAGTAAAAACAACTAGGAAGGGACAACAACACTTTCTACACGTTTTAAACGATTAATTTAGCCAATTGTTTGATTTGAAGGCTGAAAAAAATAAGAACCCTATTTTAGAGGGTATTTAATTCGGATAATTGAAACTGAAACTCTTTTAGAACCCTTATAGTCGATAACATTTTTTGCTATTGTGTCGAAATCCGCGGTATGAATCTCCTCGCTGCTTTACCGAGCTAGCTGGTTGTTGCTTGAAACATGGCGTCCCGGTGCAGCGTCTCTACACTGTTTCCTGTCCAAAGTCAGCTGGATAACGCCTTAGATGACGCTGCAACACAACAAGAAAAAGAAGATCTCGTTCAACAATATCTTAAAAAGTTAGACGAGAGAGAGGACCTGAAGATACCCGATTTCCAGACAGGTTAGAGCTTTAGCTTAAACACTTCGCCTCTCTTTCGTAGCAGTTTGACTTGAGTTTGCCAACTCTGCTCGTCACTACAGGACTCGGCATGTTCATTCATATATACATTAAGAATGTTGGACAATTGCAGTCTACTTAGGAAGAGCTCTCTTTCCTTTTAAAAGCTAACGTTACAGCACCACACGCCTTGTAACCCTTAAACACAAGTTCTTCATAGTCTGTCAATTAATTAGCTAGCTACCTTATCTATTCCGGAAGAGGAAGAAAAATTACAGGCATTCATGTAATTTAATAATATGTAAAATATGTCAATTTGTCAATGCAGTACTTCACAGTAGGGCTCACTAATATCTTGTAAACCTTCCTTTTCATTCTTGCTATTATCCTTCTGTCACTCGTCTCCACCCACTCCACCCTATCTTCTTTACCACTCTTGTGCACTGTCCGCTGTTTTGGATGGTTGTCCTAAAGTATTTAAACTCATCCACCTTCACTATCTCGACACCTTATAGATTACAGTGTCGTCTGCAAGTATCATAGTCCATGCCTGACCTCATCTGTTAACCTATCCATCACCACTGTAAACAAGAAGGGGCTCTGAGCCAATCCCTGATGAAACTTTAACCTATATATCTCAACTGCTGCACACTGTTCTTAGACGTACCCTGCGCCACCCTCACAAACTTCTCTGTCACTCTTCACTTTCTCATGTGGCACCATAGTTCCTGTGTTGGCACCCTGTCATATGCTTTCTCTAGATCCACAAGATGGAGTGCATCTGATCTTTTCTGTACTTGAATGGTCAGAAAGCTAAAAATCTTTTTGAGCTTTACCACCATCTCACATATTGAGTCAATGTTTTGCAATCTGATTAGCCCTAGTTTACATAAGTGGATAAGTTGTTGGGCATAAGTTGTTAGCCACTGAACATGCAGGGTTCCTTGGTTTTAATAGTCGGAACAGCATCCACTTGTCTTTTATATGCATAAGAATATAAAAACAATCAAATCCTATTCTATTCTATTCTAAACAAAAAATAAAACAAATGCATTTAACTAAATATTGTATATATTGCCCCCCAATTAATTGCTAATGTAATTAAAGTTTAGTTGTGGGAAACTTGGGTCTGCTGCTGAGGGATGCAGCATATTGACAATATTTCACCACACCAGTAGGTGGTGATCTACTGTTAGAACATCAAATGCTAGAGTCACACAAGGCTCAATGTGAACATAACAAGGTCCCCACAACACGTGCTTCTTTTTTTTTTCTTAATTCAGAATTCATCTAAATTTATCTAATTGAACTCTGTTCTACGCAGTCAGAGATAAAGAAGAAAAGGAGCCTTTAAGCTGCTCCGTACTGTGCTAATCTTTTATGCATGTGATTTTTTGTTTTGTTTTGTTTTTTTGTTTGTTTCTTTTTGGGGGGGGTAGATTCTTATCTGCTGCAGCATACCAACAGCGAGGCATATGATCGGTCCCAAATTCATTCTGCAGCAACAATTCAAACATACTGTTGGAGTTCTAAAGAATTATCTCATCAACAAGAACAAGGTGTCATGAAGCTTTTTTGCAAAACACCGTGTGGAAGTGCACTTAAGAGATCTAAAAAAGGAGATGAAGTGGAGATTTGTGTAGCCAAAAAAACCCTTTGGGGCTAAACACTGAAAGATAATAAATGTTAACTAGATTCATCACTAAAAAAGCACACATCTATACATAGGTACCCCATTGGCTGATATGATTATGAATCAATGTGATTTGTTTTGTTCTTCTTCTTTCGTACATTTCTTTGAAAGGTTAAGTCTTGAGAAGATTATCAATGGAAAATTTAGGTAGGGGTATTACTCTTTCACTCTGTACTGGATTTTGATAGTCACCATGCTGTAAAATGTGACAGTAAACTTATCAAATGTGCACGAGTTAAGCGTGACAAATGCTATCAGGCACAATTTAGAGTGCACATGAAAGAAGTGTGAAACAAGCTGATCTAAATCTACAACAAAAACACTTTTTATGGTATTTAACATAACACTTGGGCCACGAGAACTTTCAAGTCACTGCTTTGATCGATCAAACTATCCAACTTTTTCTCCCATGTGACACAAACGCTGTGTCAGGCCCAACCACAGATATGCCTTTTAGGTGTTTTGTTACTATATCCATAGCCCTTCTAGGATGGTAGTGTAAAGCATTTGCCTACACCGTGACTAAACATGATTAAAAAGATGACAACATCATTTTCCACTCTGTGATTTGCTCCAGGCTTAGAGTGGCTGAACACGGAGGGGCCTCTCTCTTTAAACAAGGAACTGGCTGGTAAAGTGGTGCTGCTGGATTTCTTCACTTACTGCTGCATCAACTGCATCCACATCCTTCCTGACCTGCATCAACTAGAGAAGAGACACTCTGTAAAAGGTTTGCACATACTCTACTAACTACGAGGTACTTTCCATACAGCTAATTTAATCAGCTCCAGGAAAATCCTAAAGTAGAAAAACTGTGTATTGTTTAAAAAAAAAAACCCTGCTCATCGCTTTCCTTGCTGTCCACATTAAATATAATGTAATGCTGCGTAATGCTTTGCTTGATATTCATTCATTTTTTTCCATCTATCCATCTGCCATCCTGGAAAAGCATGTTTTATCCATCTTTCCTCATTCACGTGTTTGTCTTTTGCCTGTTTGATAGGAAATATATCTGACGTGCGTTCTTGTGCATGATGTTCCCAAGTAAATCAATTTCAGCACATTGCTAAAGAAAAAAGGCTAAAGTCAGATAGTTCGTGTGAATTTCAACCCTAACCTGCCTTATCAAGAACATCATGTTTGTGAGTGAAATGGCTTGTATCTGTGACAGGCGATGGCAGATTGAAACGAAATGATAAACGTCAAGAATGAAAGCAACAATGAGTGGTTCCCTCCAGTGGCACTCAACCTCAAGCTCTGTCATACCCAGTGAAGATTTAAATCAAAAATATTTGGGGCTGGTTTTTAGCACTGTTCTCAAACCAGAAAAGATTGTGCTTTTGTCGGGGGCCTGTTGCCAAACATAATTAAACATCTTTTTTTTTTTTAAATAATTATGGGAATGTCTATTAATGATGTGCCCTGTGTGGGTCAATAATTCACTCATCCACCCATCCATTTATTTTCTTAACTGCTTATCCAGCTTAGGGTCATTGAGGCTAGAGGCGATCCCACTTGGTATTGGGCTAAAGCCAGGAAACACCCTGTCAGGCAACAGTGCTAACCACTGCCCTCCTGCATGAAGTCCAATGACTCAGTTATGTGTATTCAGAGTTTGCAGTAGCTTATTATTAAGCTCAGATTAGAAAACTTACACTGGTTTAGGGTTGAGATTTATCAACAATAACAATATCGTCTAATGGCTGCGACATATAATGGATGCCACAGCCTCGGGGAAGAAGCTGCTTTTTAGTCTCTTTATGCAGGTTTTGATGGTGCGGTATCTCTTCCCCCAAAGGCAAAGGTGTAAGCAGGTGATGACCTGGGTGTGTTTTCATAACACACTTCATTGATGGATGTTGTCACTTACAGTATAATTTCTTGACATTATCTCATAGATTCTGGAGAAACTGCATTTTTTCATTGCAGTGAGTTTCTCATTGGGCACTGGCAGATCACATGGTGCTCAGCATCATACAGGATAATTCAGTTTCATTGTCTTTAGTGTGTAAAAACAATATGGTTAAAAAATGCTTATACCATTAGCTTTGACTTGCTACAGGACAGTTTAAAGTATAGAATTTGCTCGTTATTTGGTTACTGTTGAATGGGTGGAAGATCAAGTAAAGCACTGCAGGAATTTATAGTGTATTCTTAAAGTCACACTTCAGCTGCACTGGGCCTCAGTGGAGGTACACGATTTAAATTGGTCCTGTGGTCATGTGTTGTGGAGCAGCATCTCAGGGCCATATTCGTTGGAGCAGGGAAACTGCTTCTTTTCCTTAGGCATGTAGACCCTTATCTCAGCTGTGAAGCGACAGTAGCTAAAAATACTTTCAAGACTCAGTTTAAGTAAGCATAGATACAGCATACATCTGCCCCTCTGTAGTTTATTGTTTTGTACTTATGCATTCACAATTCCCAAATGCATTAAAATCATGACTGATGGCCTTACATTCTCACATGCAGCTCTGAAGTAATATCTAGAAATGTTCAGGGCTGCAATAATGTTTGAGAACAGTTATATATAGCAACTCCATGTAAAGCATAATCTCTGGCATTTTAATGGCCCTTTAAACAGGCTATCTATAAGTCTTGAGAGGTCTTAAAAAGGATTAAATTAGCTCTTTTTTTCTTGTTATAGGTACAAACTACAGGGGAGTGCAGACAAAGTGCTGCATACAATAAATAATAGATTCATGGACCTAATGAGAAAGTGCATAAAAGATATCACTGAAAATATAATCAAACTTGTATGATGACAAACAGGCATTACATTTATTTACATTCAAATGTTGTATCATCTGAGGAAGATGTGCCACTTGAAATTCATTTGTGAGTTGAACATTACATAAAAGACACACACACGCAGACTGCAGTGCCACCACACATTATCGTACTTGCCTTATCTCTGGCACCGCTATGGGTACATTCTGTTTGCTGCTGTTGTCACTGAGGTGTGGGAGCCACCCTGTCCAGTCACTCCACAGTCCACCCCGACCCACCCATCGTCACTGCAATCTGTGCCGGCGCTACGCTGCTTGGCAGAGGCCGCGGGTGACGAAATCCGCTGCAGACCGTGTCGAGTTTGAGCGTTGGTGGGGTTCATTTATGAAATGCATTTTTTTTGTGTGTGTGTGTGTGTGTTAAAAAATATGAACTAATGCAACTGTATAGTTTTTAGATGCTTTGTAATTTGTTGGTTATTAAAGCCCTGAACAGCTCAGGGCTGTCCCTGGGATTAAAATCTAAAGTGAAAAAGCCACATAGAGTTTTATGCTCCATATATCTGGAACAAGATATCAGAAAACTTGCTGTAGCTTTTAGTTCCCTCAAATCAGTGCCTTATAATGAAATTAAACATGGGATTCACGCCTTTTTAAATAAATAGTGTGTAGTGTTTTGAAAGTGCCTTGTCACTGAAAGTTGCTCTTTTGCTGTTTCTTGTGTAACTCTATTAATGAAAACAAGTCTTTTTTTCCATTTAGAAAGTTGTTTTGCTCTGTGTACAGTTGCATGCAATCAAATTGTAAATAGTAGAAACTGCACAAAATCAAACTTGTTAGAAATCTTTTTTATTTTTTAAAATCTGTGATCACGCTCGATTCCCTGTGAATAAAGCATTTTCAGAGCGACAAGGTAGCTTTGACATTTCTGCCGCTCCGCTCGGGCTCTGTTTACCCAGCGTATTGTCGAGTTTTTGATTTAAGGAATGACAGAAGTACAAAAGTGACTGTTTCGATAGAGAGTTTTACAATGATTGTAAGGAAGCTAGGAAACTAATCAAGATATCTGCTATCTGTGGACTCTTTGGAGAGTTTTAGTGCCACAAAAGCATGTGTTTAAAATAACATCACCAGCCTGTTACATTCATAGTTCTAGGCAATTCAGTTGCATAACATTTGAAAGTCTGCAGCCCTTGTACAAAGTCACAAATTATAACCACTTTCTGTCTTTAGCTGTATAATAAGCATAGTGTTTACTTATCTTTGATGATTACTGAGAAATGGCTTTTCCAGAAACCTCACTTAAACCTGCAATGTGTTATGCTTGAGGGTTGGTTGGTTTACATAGAAGGTCTCTTAAATTTTACAGTGGAAAAATCATTGTGCTTAGTGCATCTTTGCATGTACGTTTGTGACATGTGTGTCTTATGCAACACCTTTCTGCCTAAACGCTCACTGTTCGCTGTTTAATCTCTTTTTCAGATGGGTTGGTTATTGTTGGTGTGCACTCTGCCAAATTCCCCAATGAAAAGGTATGTTTTGGGTTTTTTGGAAACTTTTAGGGGAAACTTTTGCTTTTTTTTTTCTTTAATACTTCAAAAGTATCTACATGTATACCGATATACTTTGTTTAAATTACTCCAAGTAAAAAGAGGGCTGTAGGAGCCAGGGTGTTAATTTGAAGTTTTATACCTGTATACAAACAGGAGAATAAGATTTTGGCAGCATATAAAAATTGCAAGAACTTACTTTCTTTATCAATCCCGGACCAGAAACTCTGTTCTTCAGATATTCCTCTTAATATTCTGCTATTGGCTCCCTTTTGTTTGTTTTTTTTAATGAAATCTTTTGCCAACTTGGCAGGGGAATAATCTGTACTCTCCAACTGTGAGGAAATAAATTATGCTTCATATGCATAGTACTTACCCTACTTTTTATCAAAAACAAACAGGCAGGCAAAGTTTTACAAATTAAAACAACAAAATATCTGGATATTATATGGTTTACAATGATATCTAAGCTCGTGGAAAGTCATTTGTAGCGTTCTGATGCAGAAAAACTGTATATGTAATTTGCTCTACATAGATGGGCTCTGTACCCTGTTATAGTTTGTAATAAATGGGTAATATCACAGTAATAAGTTGGTAATGGTATAATGGTATCATTGTATTAAACCTCCCAGTTAAAGTGTTGCAATCTTTGCAAGTAACTTAAAGCCAAAATATTTCATATTTGATTACTGCATCCATGTTTGCAATAACTGCATCAATATGCATCAATATGCAATTGCATCATATTTCTTGTTTCTTTATTGGTCTGTGGGGTTTTGCTTCTTCAGTCTTCTCTTCAGGAGGTAAAATGTATTTTCATATGGATTCAAATTTGGATTTTTGACTCCAAAACCCTAAATAATCTCCCGTCGATAATGTGGCCAAATGTATGGATGCATTTCTTCGTAAGTCAGAAGACAAAGTGTTTCTGTAGATGTAGGCAATTACTCTGTTACTACCATCGTGATCATCAGGAGATTCTCGATAAAAATGTGTTAGCTTGTTCCATTAGCGGCCATGTAAACCCAGGGCATGAAACAACCTCAACCATGCTGCACAGATGAGCTTTTATTGTTTAGGATCATGAACAGATGCCTTCTTTCTTCATACTTTCAAGCACTTTCACAGTTGAAATCGCTGTTTCGTAAGTCCAGAAGCCTTTGGTCCCAAACTGTCTCCAACTGACTCTTCTCTGCACATTTTTGCCAGTTTCATTACAGCTAATAAGCAGTTTGTGTTTTGCAGTAAGACCTCTATATTGTTAATCTTCGCCACTTTTCTTTGGCGGTTGTTCATAATGTTATGCACTTTTATTTTATTTATTTTTTTCTTTACTGTTCTCACCATTTGTCTCTGTCATCAGTTGCCCCTGTTTTCATTGGATGCTTGTTTAAATGCCTGTTGGTCAGTACTTCGGTGGTTTCCGTCTCTTTCAGGACATTCCATATTGCTCCACTGGATGTGCCCGATGTTTTTGAAATGTCTCTTGCAGATTTTCCCACTTTTCTAATCTTTGAAATTATGTGCTTTTCATGAATAGATCTTTATGTTGGTTTACCCTGCTTAACTAAAAATGTAGATGAAATCCAAAGCTTAAACTAAAAGTGGAAATCCAGAGCTTCTTTACAATTAAACCTTTAATCTTCAAAAAATGATGTACGTCATGTTTCAGCATTTCACTCGTTTAAAAATTTGGGTGTTTTGATACAAAATGTGTCAACCTGTGTGTTGTTTAAAATCATTGTAAAGGGCAGTTAGTCTTTTAAAAGATGACTTTCAACTTAACAGCAAAAGCTTTACTTATAAAAGGGCTGTCCTGAATACCAGTATTTTGTGCTCCTGTAATTTGGGGGGATAGTTAAATCACTAAGTAAGAGCTTTGTAACGTTTTTGCTACATGCAGACTTTTCTAAAAGACTTGGAAAAGTTTCTGAACGTTTTGATAAATTCAGGTGGAGCCTTATTGAAGGACAACACTTGAACTCATCACCATTTTTGCACATGTTCTCAAAGGTCCTGGACAACATCCGAAGCGCTGTGCTCCGCTACGACATCTGCCACCCCGTGGTAAACGACAGCGAGGCGAGTCTCTGGCATGAACTGGAGATCTCCTGCTGGCCCACGCTGGTCCTACTTGGACCACGTGGCAACTTGCTCTTCTCCCTGGTGGGTGAGGGCCACCGTGACAGGCTGATGCTTTTCACTGACTGCGCTCTGCGTTATTATGGGGTGCGTGGTCTGCTCAAGGCTCACACAGTGGGAATCAAGCTGTACAAAGACGCCCTGCCACCCAGCATCCTTTCTTTTCCTGGAAAGGTGGCTATAGACAACAGTACTAAAAGGCTTGTCATATCAGACACAGGACATCACAGAATACTGGTGGTGTCTTCTACTGGAGACCTGCTACATGTCATAGGAGGTAAGAGACTTCACACCAATGCATTTTTAAAACAACAACAACAAATGGGCATGATGTAACGAGCTCCAATTTAGATGGCCATTAAATACAAAAACTACTGTGTTGTAATAAGTGAGATCTGTAAAAGTTCAACAGCAATATTTAGCCAATGATGACATTTTAGCATTATGCAACTGCCTCAACAACCCTCAGAGGAGCCACATGGCAGTTAGGCTGATGTCCCCAGACCAGCAGAGAGGTTGGCAGCAGCAGGGACTTGTACATGCTGGGAACTGGCACTGACCTAGAGTGGACAAATGAGGAGAGAAAATTGAGGATTGGTTTTATTTTTGTGTTGTTGACATCAGCTCTGTGCACGCATAAGAAAGGTTTGCCGAGCTGCAGAGCGTGACGTGATTCTGAAGTTTTCTCCTATTTAGTTTCAGCAAAGAAGGAAGTTTCTTCTTTGCTGAGACTAAATAGCAATAATTGTCATACGAATAGTCATGAATAAAAATAATTATTCCACTCTGATTCATTTTTTAAAAATTTAATATTGACATGTCTGAATTTTATTATGAAAAATAAATATTTGGAGCTTATTATTACCTTTAAGTGATCGAAAGCTTTAATCAGTGCTGGGTTTTTCCTTTTGTCACAGGGCCTGAAAGCGGGAGAAAAGATGGCGACGTGTCTGAAGCTTCCTTTAACTCCCCTCAGGGTGTGGCCATTAAAGGGGACACTGTATACGTGGCTGACACGGAAAACCACTTGATTCGAAAGGTTGTCTTAATAATTTTAGTTTTAAAAAGTATTTTTTTCAAGTCTTTGTTGATATTTATCAACCATAATAAATAATAATAATAAACCATCTGTGTCTGCATCTGTTTGTAGATCGACCTGTTAGAGGGAAAAGTCAGCACTCTGGCTGGAGTAGGCACTCAAGGGACAGACAAAGAGGGCGGGGCTATGGGACCACAGCAGCCAATCAGCTCTCCTTGGGATGTGATGCTTGGCACTGCCAGTGAGGAACTTTAATTGCCTTTCTGCCTTGTATGAGTCTTAGAAGATTCACCTTCAAAACAAGCTTTTAGTATTCAGGGCACAAATACACTAGATGACACATTCGTTTACACTTATACAATGTAATATAAAACTTCTATTTCTCCTTAAAACATCAAATCCTCCTTATCCCTGCCTTTTAATTATTTTCTCTTGAGCATTTATTTATACACTTGATTATTAATAGCTTATTAATTTCATACAATACTTTTATTTTTAAATTCAAGTGGGAATCTTTTTTCTTTTAAACTCTTTTTGGTGAATATCTTGTTGTCATGAAGCGTCATTAATGTGGAATTTAGATTAATAATCAGTCAGCTCAGACTCTCATATACACTTGTTATTCCACATTGATTATCTATTTTTCTTCACCCTAGGAGAAAAATACAAGTCAGTTTGTTTATCTATTTGCTCTCCTTGTGATTTAAAAATGTGACAAACTAAATTTGTTACTTTGTTTGTTACTTTGTTACCAGCAGACTGATTTAATTAATTATTTTTTTCTTGAACATTAAACACCTCTTGTAAGATCTTGCGGTTGCATTTGAAGGAAACTGTCCCCATAAATTGTGTCCTTCAGTAAAAGAAACAAAGAATGAAACTGTATGTCTGGACAGAGGTGTTTATTTTGCCTCTGGCAAGCGCTGTTCTCAACGATTCATAATGTAGAGGTATGTGTTTGTGTGATTTATACAAATCTTCTTAATTGAAAGTGTTAAGCATAGAAGATTTCAGGGCTACCGCAGTTAATTTTTTGCCTCAGGTTGATTTACGCCACAGCCAGCTGGTTTTAAGCTGGTCTCAGAACCTTTAACTTCAGTACACCCTGACTAATACATTTAAAATTTAAAGCAGTCTTTTAATATTAAAATAATTTCCATAAAAATGAGCCATTCGGCACTTCTATAAGTACCAAATGGCTCAATTTTGCAAGTACTCTCTGTCTGTGCTAACATCCCTGGGAAAGGTATGCATTTACCATGGTAAACAGGAAGTGAAGGGCTGGGTGCTTGAAGAAAATACTATGAAGGAAGCAAAAATAAAACAAAGATTTCTTTGCTTGGACCTAGAAAGATGGGGAACTGTTACTCAAAGCAACACACAGAAGGTGTTCATGGCAGCAGAAAACAGATTGGGACTCATGGAAAAGCAAATACATCAACCCAGAGTGATATGAAGAGCGTTATCAATTACATGGGAGAGGCATATTCAAAAGATGAAATTAAGTAAATGTGTGTGTTTAATATTTTGGCTTCATTGACCCAGTCAGAAAGCAAAGATGTTTTCAGGTTCTGCCTGTTCTGACTAAATCTCTCCTTAAACACCACCCGTATGGTTTAAACAGTGAGTGTTTAAAAAAAAAAAAAAAAAAACTCTTATTAGTATGGATGTACCCTGACATTGTCTTCTGAGAGAACGTCCAAACACACATCCACATATTCATGATTTATTCAAGATGTGGATGAATAAATTATTCAACCAAATCAAGAGGATCCCACACCTTTTGAACTATAAAGTGCTAGACTGGCTTTGAGTCAAGTATGTATCCCTGACAGTCCACCCGTTTTGATCAAGAAAGGCTGAACTTTGCCCCGCATTAAAAATACAACAGAGATCGTGCATGTCTGTAAGGCTTGTGCGTTCATCACAGTGGCAGTATTGTATCTGCTGAGTGCATATGGCCTTTGTCAGAGAGGCTGCTGTGTGTCTTAAACCTGCACGGCTCCATATTTTGACTCAGTTCTGACGCTGAGCAATCAGCAGATCGGGAGAGGGGGAGTTTGCAAAAATAATTTTGCTGCCTGGAAAAAAAAAAATCTATTTCTTACTTTTACTTTGAAAAAAACACATTTTGTCCTTGTGTTTGAGCAGACTGTAGTCCCAAACACACCTCAAGAACATAGCTCAACAACGAAGGACAAATATCACAGTAGTTGTTGAATGATACTGAGGCTGACTGGTAGATGGCCAAGAGCACTGACACCAGTTCCTGCTCCCATATTTATCCTGTGGGGTTTTTTTGCGTTTTATTTTCATGTGTAGGCGGCGATGAAGACAACGTGCTGTGGATAGCCATGGCAGGGACTCACCAGATCTGGGCTTTGTTCCTAGCTGATGGAAAACTGCCCAAAGGAAGGTGAGAGACCAGTACATGACTGCCATGGCCGCTTCGAAACATATTCTGATAATATAATGACATGGTTGTAATTCTCCTTTTAAAACTGTGAAAATGGATTCCTCTTCTTGTGTGTCTTCCGTGGTCGGAAGTTTCACAGGAGGTCACATTATGTAATAATCTTTTTTAATTACCGCAAATAAACAGGAGATAAAATCTCAGTCTTGTTTTTATTAAAAGAAACAAAAAACAAACAGATTTTCTCCTTTTTGGAACTCTGTCCATCAGGAAGTGCATTCTAGTATTTAATGACATTGTCTTGCCATTTGAACAGCGAGTCCAAGGCAGGGATTTGTGTGCGATGGGCGGGCAGCGGCAACGAAGAGAACCGGAACAACGCCTACCCTCACAAGGCAGGCTTTGCCCAGCCTTCAGGCCTGGCTTTAGCCCCAGAGGAGCCCTGGAGCTGCATGTATGTGGCTGATAGCGAAAGCAGCACCATCCGAATGCTGGCGCTGAAGGATGGAGCCGTCAAGTTGCTGGTCGGAGGAGAGAGAGACCCACTGGTGGGTGTACAGTAAATGGGGGAAGAATGAATTAATAGTGTAAAAAAAGCTTTATTTACCATTCATCATCATCTTCCCTCTGCTAGATACCTTTTCAAGTATCCTTATTTCCAGTTATAATGCTCATGTGGTTTGAAACAAACAGTTACAGCATCTCTTAATGAAGTTTCACAGACCAGCATGATATAGTGCACATAATTTATCAACTTGTTGTTTGCCATATTGTCCATTTTTATTGCTACTTTAAAAGGTGAACTTCTTATAGAAAGAAAAAGCCAGCGCAGATGAACTTGTGGAGACAAATTAAAAGTCCATTTCCGAAGCAGACTGTAGGAGCAGAATAACCTTGTGCGGCACTTTCAATAATGATGTGTCCTGTGCTTGGCTCTGTCACCATACATCAACGCAAAACACACAGTGTGAAACCTGCACATTAGTCTGCCACATTTCCAGCCACACAAAACATTAGGACAATTATGAAGAAAAATGTTGCACAAATATGAATCATTGTTAGGCACTCACGCAGAGTTTAGGGCTATTTTTGTATGCATAAAAATATGGGTTTTTTTTCCTTTAAAGAGAAACAAGTAAACACAGACCCTCTTGTTTGTTGCTAAAGGAAAGCCTGAAAAACAATGTTGGTGCATACCTTCATACCCTTACAGCAGCTCTGCTGTAGTTTCTTTGTCTTGCCGCACTGGTGTATTTTTGGAAAGTCACAAGCTTGTAAGTCCCCATGAGAGCAGGAAGTAATTAACTAGAGAGTCATATACAGTTTATTTAACATGGTGAAGAGCCGGGAGAAACTATTAGCTGCCCACAGATGTTTAAGGAGTTGATCTAGAACAGCCAAACAGTATTGAAGCTGAGGTGGCGTCCTCTCATGTTTGCACTTTTACAGTAATATCAGTTGTCAAATTGAGCTAAAGCAGAGATGTCAGACTCATTTTACACTGTGGACACATAAAGAGTAAGTCACCGTGCAGAGATTTAACTGCACCTTTAATCCTGGAGATATCTTAATATAATAACAGACAGTATGACAAAAAACAGTGTTGTTGTTTTTTTTTTGTTTTTTTACATGAGAGAGAAACACTGATGTAGTATGTGAAAGAAATCTGTCAGTGCAACTCTTAAAATGTTCTTTTTTTTTACTGTGGATCTGTTGTGAAAAAATACATACATTTCTACAGTAGATGGTGGGAAAACGGGAACAACTGTTTTTCTATTATTTTATTACTTTGGTGTAGTATGAATGGCCATGGGAGGGGTGTTTATCAGTAGAAAAAGCTGTAAAACGGGTGAAAAAATGGTTAAAAGTCCAAAATATATACCCACCTTGACATTTCCCAAAGCAGTCCAGTGTAAGGTTATTACAGTTAGCTAACACTAAACTGAAAGTAGAGATGAAAAAACATTTTAGTTAACTAAAATAAAAATAAAAGCTAGACTTTTATTTTCCATCCTATTTTCCATATTTTCCAAATCAAAAAACGTATCTGATTTTAGATTCAGCATCTTTTTTGCACTGCTTCTGATGTGGCGGCTGACTTCATGTCTTTGATAGTAAATGCACTGTTTCTTATGTAACACTTTTCTACTGTAGTTGAGCATTTAAAGCACTTTATTCACGCTCGAGAATAATTCTGCATCCTTGGCAACCATTCTTCTGATTACTGTCGTCTTGCCACATGCAACAAAATACTGATTTCCATTTTCAGGGGGTAGAGGATGAAGCTGCACGTAGCTGGATCTAGCTAGTTTAATTACCAGTGACTGAAGATTGCGTTTTTTTCCCCATTTCAGTCTAGGTTGTCTGCATTGCAAATTCTCAAGTCTGGGAGGTGAATTCATGGTGCACAACCCCTTTAATGTTGAGAACATCTACGAGCATGCTCCAGGTCCTCCAGCTCCTTTTTGAACTCGACCAAATTCTGTTTACCTCGTTCTTCAGCTGAAGTCTGGTTGGGTTGCTGAGATGTTTCAAGCTCACACTTGTGCAGTTAGATAATGGATTTAAACCTATTGGCTTTCACTCAGTGGATTTTACATTTCCAAGGATTTGTTGTTGTAAACACCTTGTAGCTGTTTAGTCAGCGAGCCAGGAGAATCATGAGACTTTGAAGATTGTTATCATGGTCCTTTTCTGTTGCTGTTGTTATTTACAGAGCTGATACAAAATTATAACCAATTTATCGAAATGTTATCACAGCTTCTTACAAATTGGTTGTTGATGGGATTATCTGTTTGGTCATGCTAGTTTCAAATGAATCATGGCACACACAAAAAAATAAAATGATTTATCTCACAGTCTTAATCTTTTTATGTATAAAATTCATCATTCATAAGATAGAAAAGGCTTCGGCTTTCTTCAGTTTCCTGTCTCGTTTTCAATGCAGTTAAGGGTGTTTTGTAATTTTAGTCGATAATATGTTTTTTTCTCTAACCAGTGTTTTGTATTGTTCAAAACAGAACCTTTTTGCTTTTGGGGATATGGACGGGAAAGGGGTGGATGCCAAACTCCAGCATCCTCTCGGTGTTGCCTGGGCTTCCGAACAAAACTTGCTCTATGTAGCCGACTCCTACAACCACAAGGTAACAGATGATTGTCCCAAGGCTGCATTTTAAAGATGTACTGTGCAAATTTAACACTTATGTTCTGTAATGAGTTCCTTGAAGTGACTGAGTTCATGCCAAAGTGGTTAAAACTCCTTTTGAATTCCAGGAAGGAAATTTTTTTTTTGATAACCAACATCTTGTGTGTGTGTGTGTGTGTGTGTGTGTGTGTGTGTGTGTGTGTGTGTGTGTGTGTGTGTGTGTGTGTGTGTGTGTGTGTGTGTGTGTGTGTGTGCCTGTGATTCTCCTCAGATCAAGGTGGTGGATCCAAAAACAAAGCAGTGTAGCACATTAGCAGGAACAGGAGATGCTGGAGATACTCTGGGTCCAGAGTTTAACAAATCCTGCTTCAATGAACCCGGAGGAATCTGTGTCGGTGACGGCGGAAAACTGCTTTACGTGGCCGATACCAACAACCACCAAGTCAAAGTGCTGGACCTGACCTCCAAGACTGTCTCGCTGGTGAGTGCGTTGCCTGTGTGTGTGTGTGCGTGTGTGTATTTAGGAAAAGTGTGGTTCCAACCTTGAGAAAGTGCTTTACATTTTGTACACTTTTGTGTAATTAATCTGTCCTAAAAGCTTCTGCGCTAGAAGAGATTGAATTAAAGGTGACAAAGACAGGACACTGTAAGTTAGGGTAGCTTTCTCCTTGCTTTTGTTTAATCCAAACACCCATATCTCTCTTTTATCCAGCTCCCCATCTCCCGCGAGTGCACAGATTCGGTACCTACAAAGCCCTCGGGTCCGACCAAAGCCCCCACGCTGCCTAAATCAGCTGCCAGGAAAGAAATGCCGCCAGTAGCGGTGACTGCGGGCCAGACTGTCATCATGTCTGTCACACTGTCACTTCCAGAAGGGACCAAACTCACTGAAGAGGCGCCCAGCTGCTGGGCACTCTCAGCAGAGGGTGAGACAAAGTTCAGTCACTGTTACATGAAGTATCATGCATGTAAATGTTCTGAGCATGTTTAGCCTTCATGCCCATGAAAGATGTCTTGACCATCATTGACACCTCATCCTGTCACTGATGTTACATCCATGAGCTTCTGCCACACAGCTGCACATGTTCACAGGGACACACTTGGAATTTTAAGTAAAGTTTTGCACGAAAAGTTTTTGATTTTGAGATAATGTTGACAAAATTCAACTTCTCAGTTTCAACTAAAGAGCACTTATAAACACTCATTTATATAATGCTTCTTTAGTAAGTACTGTACATCCACAGTCAGTTTAGAATCACCAGTTAACCTGTTGTGCATGTTTTTGGACTGTGGGGAAAAAGCTGGAAAAACGCAGGCAGGCTCCGGGAAAACATGCGAACTGCAAGCACCAAAGGCCCCAGCATCACTGGAGATTTGAACCAGGAAGCTTCTTGCTGTGCGGGAAAAGTGCTAACCACTGCATATAAAAAATTAGTAATTCTTCTGTGACTTGATTGAGAACCTTCAGCTCACTTTAAAGCAAAAACCTTTCGAAGCTGATTGACTGTATTAGTTATTTGGTAAAATTACATGATGCTGTGACACAGAAATTAGGCTTTTTTTTTTGTTATTATTACTGTAATTTCTAAGCTAGTTAGTCAGACATGCTGTATTTCCATTGTGTTGCTGGGCCAGACTAATGCAAGTTAATTATTTTGTTGCGTGTTGGCTGAAGAAAAGCACTAAAGCAGCAGCCTACAGACATCACTGTAATGTGTGTAAACCCGAGGACTGACAGATCTGCTGCGTCTAAGCTTTGATTGGACTTTTTTTCCCGTTCAGGTGAGAGGTTAATTGAATTCTAAAACCCCAGCAGTGTTTGGCAAAGACTTCACAAATATCTGCTGGGAACCAGAAGTGGAAGGATTTAGGTGGCAGAGCAGTGAGGAGGCAGCTTACAGCAGCTGCTTTGTATAACAGCTTGTTTGAAAAAAAAAAATGCATGCTTTTCCTCAAGTTATTTCTCTGTTCGTCAGGGTAACCAACCAGAGTCAGGGCTGCAGCATAAACGTCCTCCCTGTGCTTAGAATGAGCGCGTTGTGGAGTGAAGCCTCTAATTCTCTCCTACAAAACTTTATTTTGGTCTCTGATCTGTCAAAAAGTGAAGGATGCTTAACCTGCCTGCACGTCGTTTTCACCGTTCAACAAGCAGATTCTCACTCTGCCAGCCCACACCTGGAATTTATAGTTCGCAGCTAAAACAAAGACAAATACTTAAATCACTCAAAGCTCTTTTAAACCACCAGCGAGGAGGTACGAGGCGTGGATGGCTTAATTTATGATTTTATATTCTAAAGAGGTTTAGTCTAATTCTCTCAGATTGTAGTGTTGACCATAGGATCGATTGATACGTGATTTTTTTTTTGATTTTATTTTTATGTGATGTGATGTTAGTGACAGTTGTGGTCTGTTCATTACGTTTGCACCAAAAGTGTTTCCATCATCCTGAGCGCTGCAGCATGAAATCCTCGATAACGGCAGGCTATTTTTAGAGCATTTCGATAAGACGACATGCCTTGGTTCACATAATTAGCTACCAGGCTATGTTATGTGATCCCCCGCTGTCCCATTATACCCAGTCTAGACTTATGCTGATCAGATCAGAGCAGAGGCAGGGATTTTAATGGATCAACTTAGAAGTGCACGCCAGATCTAAATTGTTTTTTTAGTGGCTTTTTAGAAATGGCTTCCCTGGGACCCAGCGTTAGACATCAGCTTCATTAATCTTGGCTGGCTTGGGTTCTGTGGTCTCTGTGGCGTGATATTTTCTCACCGCTGACGCTCCGGTGATTCTTTTCGACTTTCATTTATCTTTCAGTGGTCGTGTCGCTTCAGATGTGTACTTGTGTCTAAAAATATTCCCTGTGTTTCAGAAAATGAATGTCTTCAACCACTCTTTATTTGATTTAGTAAGGGTATGTGAGTTTGGCCTAATATTTCAGAGGGACTGTTTTACTGTGCAGGCTTGAGTCAGCCCTAGCACTCTGGCTGCACCCCACTACGTTCAGCAATAAATCGAGATGCCAGCCAGCTATTCTCATTCAAAGCCATCTGTTCTTTCAAAACATGGATGAACTAAGGCGGACACGTGACCAAACTGGGGATTGAGCTTAGTTTATGTCATTCTTGAAGTGGATCTGTGGGTTCATCGTGGACAGCCCACAATATTCAGTGTGCCTGACAAGTAAACTTCACTGTCTGTCACTATACAGGAGTTTAACCACACTTTTAAACCTGAATATGTCTTTATACCAGAAAAAGATTGTATGCGAGTATAAAAAAAGTCTTGTTTTTCTTTTTGACATGATAGAGAAACGCTGATGATGAAAAGTCCAAAATTTATGGCCTCCTTCATATTTCCCAAAGCAAAGTCCAGATTAGTCCTTGCCCGGCCAATTCTGGACACAATACTGGAATTCTGAGAGTGTCCTAGACTTTGGAAGCATATCCTTACAGAGTTGAGATAGAACTACCAATCAGACTGGTATCTGGAAAGGTTCCTGAGCAGTGCTAGTGTGCGCTAAGCCGCTGGGGGAGACTGTGCAGAGTGCTGCAACAATGCTTAACTGGGTGCTTCATCTCAAAGTAACATTGAGGTTAATGCCTGGCCTGAGTTTACCAGTTTACCAGCAAGGCATGTACACTGTACATAAAAGTTGGACGTCCTTTGACATCACTTCCTGTTTTGTTTTGTTTTTTGTTTTTTTAAAGGTAACGAGTGGCTGCTAGACCATCAGGTGCTTACTGGTTCCATTAAGGATCTCTCACAGCCCCTCTGCATCTCAGCCAAACTTCCAGTCGTTATGAAGGAAACAAACGGCAGTCCAAGCCTCACGTTGGCCGTGTGGGCGTACTACTGTACGGAAGCAGGTAAAGCCTGCATGATGAAAGCGGCTTCATTCTCCCAGCCTCTTCAAATAAACGCCAGTTCTGGAGAGGGAGAGGTCATCGTGGAGTTGACTCATGCCTTCTGAAGCCGCCTACATGTCTTAGTTAAAATAGCCTTAGATACTCGGATGTCTCTTCACATATAACACATTAGCTCGGTAATGTTCTCGACTGTGTGCGACGGCTATTAAAGGAGTGCAGATAGACACCTGCAGATATACTATATATTATATTTATGTAGTGAGCTCTCATGACGACAGGTTGCATTGCTAATATGTGGGGGTTTTGCCAAGTTGTTTATCAAAACTAAAAGAATAAGGAAACTTATTAAAGTTATTTAATGAGAAACTATGAATATCTAATTTATCGTAGCACTGCTGGTGTGATTGATGGGCAGATAAATAAAGGGATTTTCATCCGTTCTCTTATCTTCTGGAAAATCTAAAGTTCTTTCAGGTGTTAAAAACAAAGTAAAAACTAAAACTTCAGCTTTATAGTTTCACTTTAATTGAGGAAGGAGGATTTGAAGTGATTATTATTATGAATATTATTATTATAAGCTGATAAGTAATAAAATAAGTAGAATTTCTTTAAATGGAGACTTTATATGAATCAGCTTTTCAATGCTAATATCGAGTTCCAGCCAGTGTCTTCATAAAAAAAGGATATTTGAATTATGTAAGGCTTTCATAGGGATTATTAGGTTAGGATAAAAATCTATATCTTTCATTTAATCTCAGCCCAGCAGAGGAGGTAGTTAGCAGGAGAGGACAGATGTGTGACGCTTAAGTCTTTATGCAGTTGGGGGTTTATTGAACGTGTCCATGCAGAGACTCTCATTTCTCGTTATCATTATAATGTTAAAGTTGTGCAGCGCCGCGGTATAAACGTTTTCACTTTCCTCCTTTAAATGCTGTATTACCACAGATCAGCGCGGGGTTGGTTTGGTCACATCAGCTTGGAAAGGTGCCCGCCGATCGAGCTCCCATCCCGCGTGCATTTGTTTACACGTGTGGCAGCAGACTGATTCTTCTTAAGCCGTTTACACTGTTCTCTCGTAGCCCGAAAGCTTTCCGATTGCGATTATTCACAGCGCACCAGAAGCTGTTTTGATTCCGAACCACCTGTTATTTTGAGTAATGAGTAAAGTGCCTGTTTTCGAGGAGGGGGAAGCAGCCGAGGACACTGACATGACTGCCGCCTGTTCCCGCACGCTGAAACCAAAGTCTCATTAAATTCTCTCCATCAAGCATTTATACACTTCATCTCAGCTTCACAAAGGGAACATTATATGAAAGGAATGCTAATAATGATCCGCTCGATCACGTTGTGTAATGCGATATGATAATGTGGAAGTTGTTTTGTCATTTTGCCTTTATTGGTTTACTAAGTTATGAGTTGTTGTGAGAACGTTTTGATTATCGTTGCTGTCATCATGTCTCATAACCTAATTGTGCTCGTCAGCCTGCTCTTATTTGGTTTGGCTCACTCAGCCCAAGTGCCTTGGAAAGGATTGCATGGATGGTGTACATTCATGGCACTTTAACCGTATTAGAAGCAATATTGTTTTGTTTTTCCTTTCTCTTTTTTTCAACTCCCACAAGTTATTTATTTCCAGCGAACTGCAGTTGTTGTACTTTCTCGGCTCTCTTATCCCTCTGGCACTTTTTAATGAGCACTAATAACCTTTGGGTGGCTGTCAGTGGGCATTAAGCTCCTGATATTGTTTTGTAACTCTCACTTGATTTTGTTTTTTTCTTCATTTCTGACTTCTCAGACACATTTTGGCATGCTTTTGTCTTCAGGGGCACCTTGTTAATACTTTGGCTTCTCCGTGTTGGACTTCAATATGCAGCACAGTGAGGAAAAACTAATAAAACTTATTTTATCTAGTCTGGTTTGTGTGCCGTTCTTTTCATTTCCTGGTATTTGAGAATCAGTTTGTTTTGCGTAATTCCAACCAATACATTAATAAGCTGGTGCTGAAGCTCTTTTATATGAGATGCTATCAAAAGCATCACTAATGAGCACACTCGTTACATAAAAATGTAAAAATGCCAGTTTATTTCTGAGCTGGCCTCATACGCAGACCTCCTGTTTGACGCATAGTTAATATCTTTCATTTTTCTCATTCCTGTTACAAAGAAAGAGCCATCTTTCTTTTTTTTTTACTCTAGTTTTGGTCATTAACATAGTTATAAACAGACAGCTTACAGAAGCAGTCTCTCGTGTTTACAATGAAGTTACAGAAAAACAGTTTTGTGTGTATTTCCTAGTCAATTAACGAGTCCTGGAACAAGAATTATTGGAGTGGTTCAAGCTCAGTTTAATTTTGTGTAAATGCTTTCGCATGCAACAAAAATGCAACTGCAGTAACTGAATGCAGTAAAATATATGGGCTTGGAGTCAATCTTGATAACTTTGAACCCTGAGTGCTGTGAAAAAAGGTATTTGCCCCTTCCTACTTTCTGTTTCTCTTTTTTGCATATTTGTCACGTTTTTTTAAGTTTAATGTAAGACAAAGATAACCAGAGTAAATACAAAATACAGCTTTTACATGATAATTTCATTTATTTAAGAAATAAAAGCTAGTGAAAACTAATCGTCTTCCCTTGTGAAAGCATGAATTAAACAGAAACCAAGTGAAGTAAGCTGAAAGATCTCAAAAAGCAACAGCGGAGAAACAAAGTCAGTGACTTCTATCAGTCTGGAAAGGGTTATGAAGCCATTTCTAACACTTTGGGACTCCAGTGAACCACAGTGAGAGCTGTTATCCACACATGGAGAAAACCTGGAACAGAGGTGAACCTACTCGTAGAGCGCATCGACGACTCATCCAGGTCACAAGAGAACCCAGAACAACATCTAAAGAGATACAGGCCTCACTTGCTTCAGTTAAGGTCAGAGTTCATGATTCAACAATAAGAAAGAGGCAGAAATGGCGTCCACGGGACAGTTCCAAGGTTAAAACCACTGCTGACTGGTCAAAGTCTAGATTTAAATGCAACACTCATTGCCAGTTATTACAGACTCAAAATGTAACAAAATACCTGTAATAAATACAAATATCTCCACTTAAAAATACAAATATAGCAAAATTTCCTGCAGCTCATTGCTGCAGCTCAGATAATATCTGGGCGAGGTTTCTACTTTCTAATTTCCTGAGAAAGAAAATTTGATGGCAATTGAATGAACCATTTGCTTTTTTGCCTCTAACATTGGCCATGTTCTGCAGTGCTTATCATCTTCTGCTGGTGTCTAATCTAAAATCTATTCTGGTATAATGGTTGATACACCCACAATAACCGCTCATCATGGATATATGGGTGTGCTCATTTCCTATTGACAGCAATTGACCTAATGTACTTATTTAATGTAAAGGGCAGATTCTACATTTTCTTATCTATGATATGTAACTCTAATTACAATTTTACTGTATTGTCCATTTATGTTTGCACATGTTTCAATAAATCGTTGCACCTATTTCCCTTTTCCCCCCATTTTCCTAGCAACATATAATCATCCAGGAAAGGAAATCCCAGAACGCTGATTCTGTTCTTCTGGACATAGTTGGTTCTTTTCTTTTGCACAATACTGTGCCAAGATCCAGAAACACTTCTTCTTTTCCAGGCCTCATATAAGGTGGACCGGTGCGAAACACAGAATTTAAAATAGTTTTCAGTTCCTGCACTAGTGACTGAAATCCAAATCTATGAAGGCACCATTAATGCTGAATCAAAATCTAGGTGTTGGAGCAACATATGAATCCAGCCATTGGATGCTTGGATGCCAATTTCAGCAGGACAATGTCACACCACGTTCTGCACATATTCCAATAAATGGCGTGGTAATAAAAAAAAATTCTTTGTACCAAACTGGCCTGTCTGAAGTCCAGAGTACAGATTGTTGGTAAGAAAATAAGACGTGATGCAACACAGTTGCAAGGAAGATCAAAACTCAACTATTTTCAAAGGTGTTTCTGGCAACAAATTCAAAATGAGCACATTTATTTTAACAGGTTTGTTCCATCATCTGTCAGAATTAGTTTTGAAATTACTTTTTCTTTTCAATCAGTTTGAAAACAAAGAGCCATTTGATTTTTCTTCCCCTTTTTGTCAGATTATTACATGTTTTTATCAAACCAAGTGAAAACTTTATTGCATTTACTGGAATATGTGACATTATTGGGAGCTCCGTTGCATTTTAAAGGAATCTTTAGGCTGCTGCTCGCTCTGCCAGAGGAGCAAAAATTACAGTTTATTGAAAAAGACATTGATAGGTAAGCTGCCCGCTTTTATCTCCATCCTTTTATCCTATCATGCCAGGAGCCTAGCTCCAGATCTACAACTTGAAAATTCTTTTGTCCCCGGGGTGCACTCAGGGCTTTGTGAAAGCACTTTCTTGTTTTATGCACTCTGGGCATGGGATGAGCTACAAAATGCTATTTAAAAATGGTCCTTTCTCTGGAAAGCTTCAAAGGTCTTTTCAGAACTGTCCCAGGGGAGTAATATTAGTGTTTTACAAAATCCCAGACTTGAGGTGGAATGTGTTGTGGGTAGCAGCGATGTGGACGGTCATCTTGTGATTCTTTTATGTGTATTTTTTTAACACGAAGATAAACTCCACAAGTTAGAACCGCCACAAAAAAGAGCTCTTGTGTCTCAGACCTGAGGATAAATCAGAAATAAAAGCAAATGAATCTGTCTTTAACCAGATACTTTTAATATGCAAAGATAAACATTACAACGACATGGTCGCTTAAGACGGGGAGCTATTATTGGCCTCCTGACTCACTCTGAGTCTTTTCCTGCTGTTTTATCCCTCTGTCCCATCAGCTGCTTTCCTCACTGTCATTCTGGCAGCACAATTAACCCTGTACCACTCACACACTCACACACACACACACAGAGCCTCAGTTAACATTTGGGTAAACTGAAAACATCAACACAGTACATGGATAAAATACCCAGTCGGGTAAGGCGCTCGGGTCATCGAAGCTGCCACCTCTTCTCTCACTTGTGGTGCTATAACACATTAAAATGAATATTAATATAACTGCAAGATCACCCCCCAAGTAAGGAGTTTGAATGTGAGTGATCAGATAAGAGCTTCACCAGCACACAGCTCCTTTCACCAGCACAAAAAGGGCTTTTAAAAAGCTTTCTCAGGGGCTTGAGAGCCATGTGCCTCTTATGACACTCACAGGATTTGTGAAACTGACACTGGTTTATTGTTATTGAATTAACTGCTCGTAAAAGGTGATTTCAAAATAAAATGGCTCATTTAATATTGGCGGGGTGTTTTGGGGCCAGGTGAAGGAGAAAATTTCAGTTTCTCCAGTTTCTTTTTTTTTTCCTGCAGAAACATTTATTCACCATTCACTGTGGCTGAGTGGGCTCCATTAAGATCATATCACTGTAAGAGATAAAATATCATTGCCGTATTTCCAGGCTGCGGCGTGTGAGGAACGTTTGCTTGAAACGCAGGTTTTCTGATGAGCAGAACCGCTAACAAAACGCTCTGCAGCTTCACTCGAACACATCGCTTTGTCTGCCTCTGCAGAGACTCTCGAACCCGATCCATAAACGGGGAAAACCATCACTTCAAATAATGAAATCAACTTTGACCTTTGACTCCGCGCTGGTGTCAACATATGAGATCAACCAAAGCTTAACCAGCAGCACTTCTCTTCATTCCGACATTCAAAGCTTGCACAAAGATTATGTGGGAGGTAGCTGCTGTTGAGTGGTCAAGAGCATTTCCATGAGCACGTTTTTATGAAAGTAAACGAGCTGCTGAACATCTGAATTATGCCGAAGAGGTGTAAACGCTTTAAATGCGGCCGAGAAGAGGAGCCCATGCATCAGCAAAGTCAGGGAATCGTTTTAAGCCTTTAACCGTCATTGTCCTGTGATGAAAGCTTCAGAAAAGGAATTTCTTCTATTTAAAAACAGACCATAGATTTTTTTAAAAGCACTAATAGGAAAAAAAAAGTCTTCCCACTCCTGTTAATGCACATGTTTTTGTTTTATAGGGTTTGATTTCAAGCTCTTGGAAATTTCTGCCACCACAGAGGTGGAAAGAAGATAAATGGAGTTTATTTATTTATTCATTTTAACCAAAAACCATAAAGAAACTCTATATTTTATTTCCCACACTAACGTGAATAAAATGTATTTTTTAGGCCCCAAACTTTCAGTTGATATTCTGTTTAATGCCCCTCTGATAGACTTTTGTTGGCCTACAGTAGTGGTCAGATTTGAAAGTGGGCACCAACAATGAGTTGAACAAACAGCCTTACTCCTGCCAGTTTGCTCAAATACTAAATTATTTAGGTTGTAATGTCTCCATACTGGAAACTCACTTGCATATAAATAAACAGTTTATGGCCTCAGAGAGCAGGCCATAAAGTAAGAGGCAATGGAGAGCCCCATCAGTCCAGTGTTTTTTAGCAAGTCTTGCGTGTTGACAGTAAGTTGACAGTGTTCCTGAAATGATTTTTGATTAATTTATGAATAGAGTTAAAAGATGAAACAATATTCATCCAAAGTATGAATTGTTTCTTTCCAAGTCTGTTGAATAAAAAAAATGGCATCGTTACATAAGAAAATCCTTTAATCTACCTTCCTTTCATTGTTTTGTTGTTGTTTCTTTATCTTGAACGCCTTCTTTTCTTTTTCTTTCTTTTCCTTCTTTTTTTTTAAACTAAGCTCACTACTAGGCTTGTCTTTCTTCCATCTCGGCCATAATTTAAAACCTGGTTCAGGTGTAGGTCAGAAAAATCATTTTTAATGACCTGGAACTGACCTGGAATGTTTATCTCTGCAGTGATGCGTGGACTGAATAGCTGTGAGTCAACCCCTGCTTTATAGCCTTCTGTACTTGCGATTGGAGATA